AAGTGACAAAAGAAGCCTTTGTGGGACCTGAAGAAGGATGCAGGAACTAAGCACCAGAGCTCAGCAACATGAGTGTATTGGACCAAGCACAGACTGGTAAGGAGGTAAGAGATTACTGTACCTTAGAGGCTGTGGCTCAAGCAATTGATTTGTTTCTGAGTAACTCAACAACTTGCTTTATTACTGTGTGCCTCAGCCAGAGGAGCAGCTTCATTTATAAATATCTCAGCCAAGAAGCTGCTTTATTCCAAAAACAATCTCTCCTAAGTGACTTTTTTGTTTTTAGATTTTTCAATCCCGCCTTTATTATTTTTATAAATAACTCAAGGCAAATATACCTGATACTCCTTCCTCCTCCTATTTTCCCCACAACAACAACCCTGTGAGGTGACTTGGGCTGAGAGTGAGTGACTGGTCCGAAGTCACCCATCTGGCTTTCAGGCCTAAGGCAGGACTTAGGACTTAGGGCCTTAAACTCCAATAGAAGATAAATTATTTTTCTCATTCTTACATTTTCAATTAATCTTATAATGACTATTCAAACTGTGGTAAAACTCTTGAGAAAAAAAGAAATATTCCTTGCCATTTTTTTTTTTTAATCATACACTTGGTTGTTTGCTATACCGCCAAAGAAAGAAGAAATGAACAAAGTCACTACCCAAAATTTGGCTAGCTTTATATGTGATTCTGGGTTTGAACTGCCAAGTCAAAACATGGCTTGCAACACATCTTGGTTAGCAGTGGAAGGACCTTAGAAGTGATGCAATGACAAAATGTCATATCATTTTTATAAAATACACAGTTTAGAAGGACAGGTTTTATAGAGTCACCTTCCCTAGAGCTATGATGCAAACTCTCATACAATATGGCTTTCTCTGTATTTTCCAATTAGAACCACAGCGGGGAAGACATTGCACTGTGCCAAAATGGCTTCCCAGAATTCTATTCAGATGATAGTGACTTGGAACCACTGACTGATTCAACGGATGGTTTGTATCTCTTATTCTTTTCCTGATATTGGCTCTGACACTCTGTAACCCTAGAGCCAAAAGTGTTCTGGAGAGAAACCATACAGTTGAAGCCTAGCTTCCCAAAGGTAATTCCAGAAATATTATAGAAACGTATCAATATACAGGGAGCCAAATCTAAGTGGATTAAATTCAACTCCAGTCAAAGATTGTGATCCAGATGCTCACCTCAAAATTCCAAACTTAAGTGGCAAGAGAGGGATTTTTACAAGCTTCTAATGGCTGGTGAGTTGCATTGAGCTAGATGGATCAAGGGTTTTAAGGTCAGACTTTATGTTCTTGAAAACAAATATTAGTTCACAAAAAAGATTTGTCATGGTATCTTTTTTTCTTAACTAATGCAGGCAAAGACTTCAGCTTACATGGGCTCACAAAAAAGGAGCCTTGACTGAAAGTAAAGGAGATAAAAACAAATAGATGTGGGTATGGAAGGAAAAAGAGAAAGCAAAGGGTAAGGAAATTAGCCAAAGGCAGTTTAAAGAAATTTATAATTTCCTCACAGGTTAAGGATTCAACATTCAGTTTGCGCTTATTATGAAACTGTAGTACATCCAAGCTTCTGAAGTTATTCCCAGTATTGTATGGGCATAATATAACAGATTTTTGTGTCCAATGCAAATTGTTGGTTCCCTCTTCTGCTTTGCAGATCAAGATGCACATGAACAGAAGCAGCACCACAGACACACTAACAAACATGTGGTTCATTGAAGGAGTTGGCATGCTACCAATGCTGTCAAGGAAGAGACTATAAAGTCTGGGCATTGAATCATACCAACGATAACTAACTCAAGGGCACAGTGCATTTCAACACACAGTTTCAGCAACATATGCAGCAAAAGTCAAGACTAATTATATATTGTATAATATATTAAGTTATATTTAATTACATTTTTGAATTTATTGATCAACCAAGTCTAGCTTTTGTTATTACTTGTTACTAGTACAGAGAGGGGAGATATAAGGTAAGACAGTGATAGATTAGAAAAACAGTCAAGTGAGAACATGCTATTGTCTGTTCCATGCAAGATGCTATCAAAACTGGCCAGAATACATCTATGTTTCAATTGCTTCCTGACATCATCACCTTCCAGCCTGAATCATCAATCACAAAATTCCAAAATTTACATAACATATAACATCCATCTCAAAAGTGCTATTTGTAATATCTGATTAAAACAAAATAACTGCAAGTAGCCAGAAAATCTCTTATTCCCCAATGATCCAGGAAATCACAGAAAATTGTCTTTCTCAGGCTCTACAAAATGTACCCAAAGTATCAAAAGACACACTATTCCACAGTCTGGGAAAGGTAATAATTTGGTTCATGTAAAGCAATCATGATTTTTAGAACACAATTATAGTTAAAAACTAGAATCAATCTCACCAATTCTTTCAAACCATAAATGTAAAAATGTTAATGCTCTGGCTAAAAAGCATGTATTTCCGTCACATCAAGGTTCAGCCCACATTCTAAGAATATTGTGGCCACAATTTCTCAAGCAAAATACTTACTGTTTTGTCAGCTTATAAAAGTCTGCAGCAACAGGTAGAAAAAACTAAACATGAAGACGTCTGCACAGAGTTAGGCAGGGTACATACTAACTAGATGTGGCTGGGAAGTACGTAAACAGAATTGGGTGTCCCTGTTGTTTAAGTTTTAAAAATTAGGCTCTTCTACACTCCCAATAGATTATTTCAGTTAAAATGCTAATATACAGTACTTGTTTGAAACAGATGCTGCTTTTTAACAAAGGAAAAGGGGGAGAGTATCTTAAGATGTTTGAGAAATTTGAACGTGATAGATTCCAATTCCGAAACTGAGAAAGAGGAGGAGGAAGAGACTGCATCAAAAAAGACTGAAATTCAAACTCTGCCAAATCCAATACTTAATTAACCTAATCCAGAATTGAGTTATCTGGCAGATTTTGCACTTCCAAATTCTGCATCAGAGTTAAAACAATGTTTGAAATGAATGAAAATATACCAAAATATGTACTGAAGAACATGAATGTGAAATGTGGAACAGAGCAGAAACAAATGTATTCCTCAATACACCATAAGCTATCTGTGAATATGGAACTGGCATATGAAGTTGACAACAATATAAACAAAATGTTTCTAATGATATTAACAGTTTTATGCATTCATAAATTCCCAAGGAACAAGAATACAAGAAGTTAAACACTGAAAAATTCTACCAATTAATATTTGGCTTTCAAAGAATGACAGTTTCTAGGAAGTAGATTAAAGATATCTACTAGGAAAATGAAACAAAGGCTACTGATCTGATATTTATTTCATTAAACTTGCTAAATTTTGAATGTAAGAGCATATGAGTTTGGATAATGTCTTCATCTTATTATTTTTCTTTTGGATTTTTTTATCCTGCCTTTATTAATTTTTATAAATAACTCAAGGCGGCGAACATACCTAATATTCCTTCCTCCTCCTATTTTCCCCACAACAACATCCCTGTGAGGTGAGTTGGGCTGAGAGAGAGTGACTGGCCCAAAGTCACCCAGCCAGCGTTCATACATAAGGTGGGACTAGAACTCATGGTCTCCTGGATTCTAGCTTGATGCCTTAACCACTAGACCAAACTGGCTCTTTTTTCCCCCCCTTATTATTCCTACTATTGTATTGACCTAAATAATGTTATGCAATGAATGTATTTACATGACACACTAAAAACAAATGTAGTCTAGTATGTTGAGCAAACCCATAATTTAGTCTAGTATATTGCACAACAAAGCCAACCTGTATATTTAGTTTGTGGTTCAGTGTGTCACTTACAGAACTGGGTTAATTGAGGAAAGCATGGTCAAGTTGACATCATCAGTGTGTCATATGAACATACTCAAGACATTGCTACCAGCTTTTATATTAGGTGGTATTTTGATGGTATGCATTTTCCCAGGTTTTGGCCAAAATGAGCCAAAATAAGTGCATTAAGCCTCTTTTACCCCTTAAGCTGTACTAAACCTGGCCACAGAATGTAAAACATTTTAACTTCATACCCCAAAGTGTTGTAAATCACCATCTACTGCAGCCTTGGATGGCTGAAGAAAAGATTAAAAGCCCAAGGTATGCCCTCCCAGTCAAATAAAATTGCCCATCTGAACTTAAGACAATTACATCCTCTCGTGCATGAGTATACATTTAAAAAAAATCAATTCAAACATTTGCAACATTCAGAGAAGTGCAAAGAATAAAAGGAGCTTTCCAGGAAGTGTGAATCAGGTCAGTTTTATATTGGAATCTGGGCAGATTGAACCCCTGAAGCATCACTAATTTTCACACACCAGACTGCTATCTCTACCACTTGTCTGGGCGGGGGAGCTACAATTTTGGGAGAGGTAAAGAGCTAAGGCAAGCTTCAGTTTGTGTGTCTGAATGGCAGCTGGCTAGTTAGGTGAGCCTGGAGGCCAGAACAAGAAAGATGGAATATGATAATATGATGACAGGAAAGAAAGAGTTATGGAGTCTCAAATAATTGCTCAATCATCGCAGAAACCAGAAAGATATAGCCATAGATATATTCATTCCTATGCTGTGAAAACACATTTTAGTGGAGATGTGACTTCTATAATGCTTCTGCTATAATAAATAAAGACAATCCTTTACAGCTGACATTGTAAGGATGGAGCATTTAAAAAAAATTGTTATGCTCAAGTCTTATTTATTAAAAGGGAAAAACCCACCTCTTTGGTACAATGGTCTAAAGGGAAAAGTTTAAGCCATTCTGGAGTAGACTCTGTAAAAAAAAGAGCTGCTCCTCTGAGTTCTTCAATTCATGCAAATCCTACATCAGTTGCTGTGTAACCATGCAAGATTTAGTACAAGCGCAAAAGACTTCTGTTAGCGGAGGGGTTTTCATTACTGTGAAATGTGGGCAACAATTTGGTTGAAATGTATGCAAATACACAACATATGCTTTAGCAGGATAATCAGTACAGTGAAACATAAACACACCTGCTAATGTTTGATCCACCAAATTGGTTGCCATGAACGTCACAGCTGGTGATGAGATAGCCGCTACCCTGGTGACTTGAGCTGGCATCAGAGGAGCCATGCGAGTCTCGAGTCTAGAAGCAACACCTGCATACAAAAGAGAACAGAAACATTACTGTTTTTCACTATATAAAAGTACAAAAGTCTTGGGTCCAAATCTGTTTTAATAAATGTTGGATGTAATCAGAGACTAAATATTAACTATTTAGTAGTAGTAGTAATAGTAATTTTATTTAATGTGCAATTATAACTAAGGGCAGTACAGGTAAATCAAAAGACTATATACAATATAAACCCATCCCTGCAATAAAGCAATATAATAATCAATGCAAGGCATTTCCTAATGCAAAATAAAAACAGTGCACCACCAAAATATAAATCTCTGGAGAATAATGAGAAAGGAAGTTCTTCGAGTTTCATAAAGATCTTGCATAATGAAACGTTTTAAGGACCTCTTTAAAAGTCAAATGGAATTCAAGGGGGAATTGATTCCAGAAAACTAAATGGGGAAAAGCCCTAAAATGTAAGGGACCATTTTAACACAAGGAATGGTCACACAATCAAGCTGAACACACAGGAAAAATGAATTGAAATTAAGTTGTTCAAATAGCTGGTTGTTCCTGTATGCATGGCCTGAAAAGTCAGCATTAGCAATTTAAATGTATACAGCTTCTAAAGATTCAGCCACAGTAGGGGTAGGAAAAAGAAAAGAAAAGAAATAGGAGTGTATCAGGACAGATCTAGGATGATACTTTTCGGGATATGACCCAGTGGGAGGACAGCAGGGTTAGAAAAGCCTCCCAATCAACTACTAACATAATCCAGGTAAGACACCTTCAAGCATGAACTAACTTTTTAGCTGGTTTTGAAATAAACAAGATATGAATGAATTTTCCAGATGTTTAGAAGGTAAAAATGGCATGTTCTGGTAGTTTTATCAATGAAATGCTTTGAAGTAGGTTTTTCATTGAAAAGAATTTCCAAATCACACACCACAAAAGCTGTGTGCCACTGACAATTCTGAAAAGAAAAAGGGAAAAGGGAAAGTGAAAAAGAAGGGTCAATATTTTCCAGAGTTAATTTAAGACCGTGAGAAGTCATGCAACTGGAGATCTGAATTAGGCAGTTAGAGAGGGAAGACCACATTGCATTTTCCAAGCAGGAGGCAGAAGAATAAACTTGGATGTCATTGGTATAGATATGGTAGTTAAAACAAATTGAAGAAATTAAAGAACCTAATGACAGAATGTACAAAGCAAATAAGAGTGAACCCAGGACTGAATCCTGAGAAATACAGATAATTGGAACAGCTAAGAGCAAAGACTCTGCCACTTAACTGAAAATTTGTGATGGGAAATATAGGCTTGAAACCAAAGAGAACTTTTTTTTATCATTGATACCTTATGAATTTGTGGGTATCAAGTACCACAGCAAATCCAACAACACTAATACTAATGACTGTCAATTTTCCTTAGTCACCAGCAAATGCCTGATCACCTGAACCGGTGCCCACTCAGTAGAATGGCCCCACATGAAACTCATATTGAGTCAAGTAAAATTATCGTTGACAGATTAGGAAGAAATGGGTTGATCTTACTAACTAACTATGGAGCATAAGTAAAACAAACTGAACTTTTTGTGCATGTATGCACACACACACACATGCTTTATAGCATCTGGAAAAATACCAGCCATTAAAGAACAATTAACCAACCTAGTCAAGAACATCAGAAAAGAAAGAAGAATAGATCCATGGAGGAAATGGAAAGGATCTGAAGGACGTATTGTAGAGAGTTTCTGAAACTATTTTAGCTACCACTTCTTTGGGAAGGAAAGAATGAAGAAAAGGAGAATGAGGAAGAAGAAAAGCAACAACTGAGACTAATGAGAATGGTGCATGATTCCTGCAAAAGAAGAGGAGCCTAAAGCATTTTAATCGTGAACAAAACTTATGTTCCAAATTCAACAGGTGTAAAAGAAGAGGAACTTTCTATAGCAGGCTGTAGGAAAGTTGGAGATAAGAGAGGCAGGAATATAGCAGTAAGCTGTCTGGGGGACTTAGCCTGATCAAAAATTAAATTACCAAAATAGCTTGGCTTGGCTCATTCCCTGCACGGCAAAAAAGAGTAAGGACTTCATGAAAGGAATCCCTATAGTTGGCAGATATCTTTCTGTTCTGGCTTACAGATATAAATACAAACCTTCTATAGGTCTGGGGTCAACCATGGATGTGGATTCCTTTTTAAAGCTAACTTTTCAAAAATGGGAACAAAAAGATTTAACACAGCACAAACAGTGATATGAAAGCAGTTGCCAACAACTCAGGAGATTCGACTTCAGATGGTATCAACTGAGTGGGAAGAAGCACTAACATTATCAAAGAATGAGCTGATAGACATACATTGGTCCTGTCAGGACTTTTTGAAGAGTTGAAGATGGGGAGGGTATATCTTACAGGGAATAAATGTATAATAAAATAGACAGGTTATGTTTCTTTAAATAAATAGCTAAATATGGTTTGCAAAGCCTTAGTCTAAATTAACTGGAGGCTGTTCCCATAAAAGAGGAAGTCCCTAACAACTTCTGGGCAAATCCCTAACAACTTCTAACCTAACAACTTCTGGGCGAATTTATACTGCAGCTATCAAAGTTTTCTATATAAATATTTATATAAAATCTTTTTTTTTTCTCTTCAAGTTTTTGCTACTACATTCATCTCATCCTTGCAAGCAAAAACAAATCAGAGATGAAAGAGCATGGCTAAAATATAGACACACCATGGAAATAGGTCAGTGTTATGGTTGAAAAGGAATTCAGCTTTGTGAGAGCAAATGTGGGTATTTCATAAGCCATGCTTTTATGGTGAGACAAAGAATAGGAAGAACAAAGTCCAACTGGCATTCATATTTTCCTTTTATACAGGTGGTCCTCGGTTAACAATGGTAATTGGGTCTGGGACTTCTGTCACTAAGTGATGCAATCATAAAGTGAGATGTCACATAACTGCATCACTTAGTGACAGCAATCCCAGCAATCTTCATTGCTGTTGTTAAGCAAGGTCCTCCTCATGACTTCCTGCTGGCTTCCCACAAGCAAAGTCAACAGGGAAGTCGGCAGGAAGTTGCAAGTCCCAGGCAGCTCATAAGGAGGCTGGCAAGCAGGCAAGTGGCTGCTGTCAGGTGCGGGAGGGTACGCAAAGGGTGCAGCGAGGCTTGGGGTGGCTGCTGCTGGGTGGGGGAGACTTACAGGAGTGACTTGCAATCTTCCCTGCCAGCTTCCCCATTGACTTTGCTTGTGGGAAGCTGGCAAGGAAGGTTGCAAATGACGATTACGTGACCATGGGACGCTGCAACTGTCTTAAGTGCGAGCCAGTTGCCAAGTGCCCAGATCATGATCACATGACTGCAGGGGTGCTGGGACAGCTGGAATTTTGAGGACCAGTTGTAACTACCACTCGTTCAGCACCATCATAACGAATGGTCGCTGAACAAGTAGCTGTTAACTGAGGACTATCTGTACTGTATGCATGTATGTATGTCTTTTTCTTTAATAGTAAAAGTATCCTTCAGACCCACAGCAGGAAAAGGTTCTTTGCAGAAGTTGTTTAGACTAGTTCCTTGAAGTGTAGGGCCACTAGTTCAGGGCTGGAAAGATCTGAACCAAGCAGCTCTATCTACCATATGAAAACATCATTTCAGATGATCAGGTGGTCAGTTCAAGGAGCTGTCCCAAGAAGACATAGCCTCTGAAATGTGATTCATTCTTCTCTGAGCATGGATAGCAATTTCACTGTTAAGACAGAAAATATCTAGCCAAATTCATCTTTATATATTGGCTCAGTGTTCATGTTTAGGTATCAGACTGAACGTTTCATTAACCCCTATCCATTTTTCTGCATTTCTCAAACCGGTCAAACTGTGATAATGAAAAATAACAGGGTTAGATCCAGAGAATAATCTAAACAGGTCATTAAGCACATGATTAATCCTTGCATGCTTGATTTTACCATCCATATGCTTTCTCTTAAGGCAAGTAGCAGTCTTGGGATTTGAGGATGGAACTGGGTTACATAACAGGATTGTTTAAATGTCCTTTCTCCCCAAACACAGTTCCAAGAAAATATAACAAAAATTACACAGTAACCATTCAAGTTCACCTTCATACACTTTTACACAATATACCTAATTTAATTCAGAGATAATCATTTCACTGATTTGAAGAGGGAAACAAGTAGGTTCTTAAATATTCCATTAAAATCAGTGGAATCCTGGAGCTGGACCAGCCTTCATTTATTAAGTATTTTCATTAACATCTGTTATGGTTTGAAATTGATCACTGTTCTTTTGTTTGTTCATTGCAACCCCACTTTAAAAAGTAGGCTAATGAAAAAAATTCTGTCTGAAAAGAATCCAACAAAATACGTGTCCCCCATCATGAATGCGGCTCAGGTGTTTAATGTAGATATTTTAGAGAAATATAGTTTGATTATACAAGAAAGATCTTAATGTCTCTGATGTCCATGCTGGTGTGGTCACTGACCTTGAGCCAGACATCCTAGAGAGTGAAGCCAAGTGGGCCTTAGGAA